AGCCCTAGAAAGCCCAGGGGCCCCTGGCCAGAGAGCGGACCCGTCCGAGAAAATTAAGCTACTGAGCCGGCCTGACTCAGGCCTGTTGATCCAGAACACTGTCTGCTCGGGCTCCTGGGCAGGAAAAAAGAACCATCGGCGAAGGGAAGATCGCACGCGCAAATCTCTCAGCGAGCTCCCCCCCTCCTTCGCACATACGGGCAGCCCTGCTGGCTAGCTGCGGCGAGACCATGTCCCTCCAGAGTGCAGCGTGGGCCGAGCATCGATATTGCCGATGAAACAAGCTACCCGCCTCCTCCTGACAAATCCTACATTTGCAGCAACTGTGGTGCCCATACTTGTGCACCCTGGCCTGAGGCCAATGCACATTGCTCAACAGGCTCCTCAGGCACCTCTGATGCTGGGGCTTCCAAGAGGAGGAGGAGGATCGGAGAAAAGGCTTCAAAGCATCCCAGAACAGAGGGTACCCTGGGAGGTCATCGCCTACCTGCATTAGAGCCTGCCTGTCTGACGCCCTGATGGCCGCAGCTCTAACCTGCAGCCGAAACTCGACGGGGGATATCTGGGACAGATTCGAAACCTGCCCGAGGTCCTACTCCACCGTGCGGAAATCTCGAAAGCCCCATCCTACTCGACGCAGGCTGAGCACAGCCACGTCCGCTCCACGGGTGCGTCTTCGAATTCGCTCGCGCTATAGCTGCATCAGCCGTGCATTCAAAGTCGAAACATTCGGAAAGCTGCCCCATACGGCGGTAGCCCATTGGAAGGCCACGTGGCCGACATAGGCCACGAAGGGATCCACGATTTCCCCCGGGTGAAACGAGTGCAACCGAATCCCCAAGGAGGCACCTTTTGGCTCGCGCCCTATCGCATGAGCCGCCGACAGCCTCAGGCCACGCATGGCCGTCGGCGAAATCCCAGAGACTCCACTACCCCAAAGAGCTAAGGCCGTGGCCCCCATTCTCTGCACAAGAGCCACATCGGCCCCAGCCTCCCTCAGAAGACGAAGTCGCTTCGAGCGCGATCCAGCATCGATGAACCTCGCCCTCTGCACCCCGATTCGTCGTCGTGAACCAGTAGTCGCATATGTGCCCAGGTTGCGTGCATGCTCGACCCGAGACGATGCTGGCAGACACCAAGCTCCAGCAACATGCGCTTGGATTTCACGCGTGCACATGTACTTCGTGTTCTTGATGTTCACAGGCAGGTGAAGCTCCTTAAAGCACGAGAACAGCTGCCCGACTGCACCTGCAAGCACCTGCGCAACCTGAGCTGGGCGCCCGCACGCCTGAAGCGCCACATCATCCACCACATTGCGGATGACTAAATTCGGACGACCTTGCTGAGCGAGAAAGAGAAGTCGGAGCACCAGTAACTTAGCCAGCGTTGTCGCCCCCGAGCATCCTGCCACCACAGCTGCATTCGCCAAGTATTGCTCCTCCATACATGAGAGCCTTATATCCAGCATTGATTGAACAGTATCCTCAGAGGACCTTGATGGGGAACCTATACTGGAGCCCAGCAGCTCTAAGATCTACATGCCTGATGTGCTTGTAAAAACGGCTCAATTCTACAAAGACGGACCCACTCTGGAAGCCGGCCTCTCTGCAGAAGCCCCCCAAGAGGTTGTGGACCCAGCCCGCCCTCTCGCACGTGGTGCGGGGCCCCGTGCCCCAATAAAAAGCTTCTGCATGCTTCTTCTCCCATGCCTGGCAGCATGGCTGACGTAGTCGAGACCACAGGCGCAGAACGAGGCAGAGGAGGCCGATGGGGCGCAGGCCGCCGCCGGGCTTGTCTAAGAAGACCATGTTGGCCATGAAAGCGAGCAAATCCTGTGGTCTGTCCTCAAACCTGCGCAGGATATCTGGAAGCCTGAGCTGGCGCTCCTCCGCGAGGTTCAAAACCCATCTTGGGTGGAAACCATCCCACCCCAAACCAGCCCCTGGTGAATACTTTCGACAAACCTTCAGGAGCCGATCCAAAGATCTGGGCTCAAGCTGAATTTCATCACCAGGGACAGACCACTGCGAGGGGTGCACATCTTGCCTACCAGACACGCACCAGAGAGATACCCACTCATCTAATAGCGTGGAAAGAGCACCAGCACCTACATGTGGGACGCCCCCGGCGTCGGGGAGTGAAGTAACGTTCGATGGCTTCTCCTTGGCAGACTTGTGAGCCGCCTTCCCTCCTCCTTTAACGCTCTCAACCGCCCAGCTCCCACTCCTTCAGTGAACGCCTTGAGTCCTCCCGTCTTCTGCTGTCAACCTCCTCGTCTATCTCATGCAAGGCATCGTGGACGGGCTCGTCGCCCGCAGTGACAACATCGGCGAAGGTGCTCAAGAACTCGGGCGCCCATATCAGCGACCATGACCTTCAAGTCCCTGGACCACTGAGCGAGGAGCAAGCGGCCCTCACAGCCAACTTCACCTACCCGAGTTGACAAGTTCGCCTGCACAGCGCAACATAACAGATCCTAGCCGTGGTCGACCTAGAAAACCTGCGCCTCTGGTCCCTTTCCCAAACCGATATGAAAGGAACCACTTTCGATTTGGGCCCTGCGGCCCTGCCCACGATGGCCCTGGAGTTCTGCTGGTCTATCCCGTGGATCTGAATCAGACGACGCTCCGAGAAACCGAACCACTCCTTTACCATGAGGTCCAGGTCTGACGGGGCACTCACATCCCAAGACCAGTTGTACACCTGCGGGGCCTGCAAGGGTCCGATAAGCTCCATGGGAAAGGCCTTAAACTGAACTTGCTGGTTGATCGTCGACACGTGGCTGAGATCCTTCAGCTTTAAGATGACTGGCGCGCGCGGGTACAAGGGAGCCTGGTCCATGACCGAGATCTCCTTAACACGCGTGGCCAACACCCCTGCAACCACAAAGAAGTCGAGGACCCTGCTAGCATCGGCAGCTTCAACTGGACCTGCCACTTCTTCCAAGATGACCCACTCGTCCAGTGTGCCATTAGAGTCCTGCTGAGGAACAAGTTGAGCCTGCTGTGGGCTCGAGGTCCTGCATGTTGGGATCTCTGGTGCCACAGGTACCCCTCTGACCTTCTGCAGCCATCCCAATTCCAGAAGAGCCTCAGGTTCGAAGTTGAAGTCCCCTTGGAGCACCCAGGGCCTGTCTTGGGCCATCACATGGGCCCCAACCGTCTGCAAGAGGTCTAAACTGGGTCCTAAGAGCTTCTTGCCCGTCACAAAGTACACACTGATGATGACGAGCCCCTTCGGGAACCCCACGTTAACGATCCTCGCTAGCACTCTGCTAGAGCAATCCTCAAATACCGTGGTCGCTGTCGGCGTCGAGCCAAGAGACGAACGAACCGCAACTGCAACGCCCGAACTACTCTGCTGCAAGGCTGGCCCAGTGCTGCGAGCCTTCCCAAACGAAAAAATAGCCATGCCTGCGCCCCCAGCTCATAGCGGAGACCTGCTTGGTATCACTCTTAACTCGCGTCTCTTGTATGCAGCTGACATGCGGAAGAGACAGAGGCCCAGCAGCTTTGCCATCGTCAGCCCACCACTCCATTACCACCTCGAACGTGCTCCACGCATTTACGTTCATGCCTGCAATAACAAGTGTGCTGATGGCGATAGACTGCGGTTGTCGACGAGCCTCTTCAGCAGCATAACTCTTCACTTTCACAACACTAGCAGATCCCTGCACCACCTCTGGAGTACATTCGCCTGCAAGAAGATGACGGGCAGGAGGTTCTGACGCCCTCCTGTCGGATTTCAACCAATGTGATTTCGAATCCGGGTCTAGCTCCACATGGGGAGGAAGGATCGCGGTCTCAGAACCGCAGCTGGCATCGCCAGCCGCCCCCGAAGGTCGGTACCTCTGGCACTACAGTCCTGGCGTAAGAGGTGCGCTGAGCAGTGCGTGCCGACGGCCACAGCCGAAGGTCGGTACGCTCTGGCGCCCTCATTGCCAGGCGAGTGCTGAGCAGTGCGTGCCTACGGGGGCCTCCGAACACGACGATGCACTGGCCCTCTGCGCTGATGACGACGCCGCCAAGCTCGCTCTTGCCCCCAACCCCGAGGAGAGGGCCAGTTGGGGCTCAACAGTCAACCTCTGAGTTGCACATACCCCCAACCCCGAGGAACGGGCCAGATGGGGGAGAGGTCCACGAACTTCCGCTGGCCCACGAGGTCCATGTGGCGACCTCTGCGGCTCCAAAGGAACCGTGAATGCACCGCTCGTCGGAGTCACCGTACACGGTCCAGTCGAACCTGAAGCCCCAGTGCATGAGGGCGGAGGGGTGTGACGAACAGGGGCTGAATCCCTTTCCCCTCCGGAGGGGGAGGGGGAAGGAGGAGGGGGAGGGGGAGGGGGGGGGGGAGGAGGGAGGAGGAGGAGGAGGAGGAGAGGAGGAGGGAGGAGGAGGAGGAGGAGGAGGAGGAGGCCCCTCCCCGTCGTCGCGCTCGTCGGCCCCACCCTCGGCCGGATCGAGCCGTGTTCCCCGAGGCCCTCTCCCTGCCCACCTCGCTGGTGTGCGCAGGGAGGGAGCGACGGCTGCATCTGACCCGCAGGACAGAGGCCGCCAGCTTCGAGACATCGAGGAGGAGGAGAAGGGGGAGGGGGAGAAGGGGGAGGGCGGCGGGAGGGGCAGGGCAAAGGAGTCGAGGGGGAGCCCGAACCGCGGTCGTCGCGCGGCGGCGTAGTCGCACGCAGGTGAGGGGGGGCACCTGCCGCGCATGGCACTCTCAAGCCAAAGCCTCTTCAGTGAGCGTGTCCGCCTTTCGGCCCCCCGGGTCTCGTCGGGACAGCGCGCTGAAGCGGCGGCGGCACGCAAGGACAGCAGGTGCACACGCGACACGATACTGAATGCGATGCCTCAGGGTGAACCCAAACACGTCGCGCGTTGGCGACGTGGCTGCCCGCACGCGTCCACTGGCTG